GTGGCCAGCTCAGCCCACCAGGGGGCGCGGCTCGCTGGCATGTGGTGCTGGGGGATTGAACCGCGGTCCCTGTGCTTTGCCAAGCTTGTTCCGAGTAGGTGCTTTAGACCACTGAGCCATCTCTCCAGCCCTCACAATATTATACCTTTTGTATCTCTATTTACTCTTCCAGTTTCTGTCATTTATTTACTTATTTATTTTTGGTGGTAGTAGGGATTGAACTCAGGACCCTGCACTTGCTAGGCAGGCTCAATTTCTTACACTAGGGAGACAATATGATGTTTGCACAAGTTGAGGCTGATTTATTTCACTTATGACTATGGTCTTTAGTTATATCCATTTACTTATAAAAGCCTTAAGTTTGTTTTTAATACCTGAGTAATATTCCATTGTATAAAAATACATCACATGTATCCATTCCTTGGTTGATGAGCATTTGGGTTGGTTCCAAGATTTAGCATTAATGTTCTTGCACAGGTTATATGTTGAAAACAGTATTTTAGATATACATTGTGTAAAAACACCATTAAAGTGAGTCAGATCTCTTAGTTTTATTTAACTTTTAAGTGCTAGGGGTCAAATCCAGGGCCTCACATATACTAAAGGTGCACTTTGCCACTGAGCTGCATCCCAGCTGTTCTTTTTAAAATGCAGCCACTAGAAAATTTGAGACCACATGTGACTCACATTTGTGGCTTTTTAGTGGGCGGCCAATCTGAAGAATCTTACAGCTGTGGGGAAACTACAGGTGCTACCTCAAATCAGTAACAGGAAGTGTCAGAGCTCCCTGAAATCCTCCAGGCTCCAGATAAAAAAAAGAAAATGATCCTGGTCACAGAAACAGTCACTAGGGCTGAGCGTGGGGGCTTACGCCTGTAATCCCAGCACTCAGGAGGCTGAGGCAGGAGCGCAAGTTTGACACCAACTTGAGCTACAAAGTGCGCTCAAGGTCACCCTGAACTACATAGCAAGACTCTCTCAGAAAGACAGACAAAAAGAAAAAAGGAAGGAAGGAAGGAAGGAAGGGAGAGAGAGAGAGAGAGAGAGAGAGAGAGAGAGAGAGAGAGAGAGAGAGAGAAAAGACAAAACATGAGTCAGTCACTGGAAGGCTTGCCGGAAGAGCAAGGACCCTGGTGCTCAATCCTGACTTGCTCACCCGTCTCATACATTTCTCTCATCTGTAAACTGGGATTTAGGATAATAACCTGTATGAGGGACTATAAGGTAAGCGACTGTTTTGCTCAAAAGCATGTAGGAGAGTTAAAAGTTTCTTATCTTTTTTTTTTTTTTTTTTTTGGTGGCCACAGAATGTCTTCATGGCAGGTCTGGTTTGGCTTGAGTATCTGGTGATGGACCACAGCATCCTGAGCCTGACTGCTTTGTTTAAGCAGGCACTTAAACAACTGAACTAATGGGCAGGCCCCCCAGGGGAGATAAAGGGTACGAGAAAAAAAGAACCAAGTTGTATTGTGTCCTTATTCCAGCTCCTCACGATGAATATAGTCATTATGCACTGCAAACATGCATAATAAAAAGTGAAACTAAAAATCTATTTTTTTTTTTTTTTTTTCAGAACCGGGGATTGAACTCAGACCCTTGCACTTGCCAGGCAAGTGCTTATTCTACTGAGCCATCTCCCCGGCCCCTAAAAATCTATTTTGTACAGGGTCCCACTACATGAACTGGTAGTGATCCTCCTGTGTCAGCCTCCCCAGCACTGGGATTACAAGGGTGAGCCACTCCGCCCGATTTAGGGGTTGGCTTGGCACACCGGGGGTTCTAGAGCCTGTATGGCATTCGGTACCGGGATTAACCTCCGGTCCTTGTGCTTGCCAGGCAGGCGCTTAGACCGCTGAGCTATCACCCTAGCCTTAAAAAGTGAAAATAAGCATAAAAGCGAGGCTCTGAGACTCTTATTCTGATCCTACAGGTACCAGGAAGCTAGACACAGTGGCCCACTGGTATAACCCCAGCATTACAGGAGGCTGAGACAGGAAGATTGAAAGTTTGAGCCCAGCCTAAGCAACTTGATATTAAGAATTCTCTTCTCGGGCTGGAGAGATGGCTCAGTGGTCTAAAGCACCTACTTGGAACAAGCTTCACAAAGCATAGGGGACCGTGGTTCAATCCCCCAGCACCACATGCCAGCCAGCCCCGCCCCCTCGTGGACTGAGCTGGCCACACACACACACAATAAATAAATGTTAAAATAAATAAATAAATAATTAAAAAAAAAGAATTCTCTTCTCAAAAATAAAAAGGGCAGGGACTGGGGAGATGGCTCAGTGGAATAAGTGCTTCCCTGGCAAGCGCATGGACCTGAGTTCAATCCCCGGTTCCGCCAAAAAAAAAATAAATAAATAAAAATAAAAAGGGCAGGGGAAATGGCTCCCAGAATAAGCGCTTGCCTGGCAAGTGCAAGGGCCCGAGTTCACCGGGTTCCGCAAAAAAAAAAAAAGAAAGAAAGAAAAGAAAAGTGGGGGGGGGGCGCCCATTAGCTCAGTTGTTTAAGAGCCTGCTTAAAGGAGGCAGTCAGTTTCTTTGAGCGGTGGTTCCATTCCCACATACTCAAGGCAACCCAGACCAGCGCTGCTGCAGGTCAATGGGGAGCTCCAAAAAAAAAAAGAAAGAAAGAAAAGAAAAGAAACGAAACAAAACAAGAACCTGAACCTGTTTGGGGCCGGGGAGATGGCTCAGTGGAATAAGCGCTTCCGGACCTGAGTTCAATCCCCGGTTCCGTAAAAAGGAAAACTAAAATAAAAAAGGGCAGGTGATGTAGCTCAGTAAAAGGCTCCGGGTTCAGTCCCCAGTACTTGAGGATCCAAAAGTTGTTCAAGGTGACACCCAGAAGAGGAAGGACGCATTCCCTTGGACGGGGCTGGGGGCGATCGGGGCGACCCAGTTCCATGCCTGTCACTCACTCACCGGAGCCTTTCTCCAGCTCGAGCGGTGGGGAAAAATTTAAGTGGGCTCCGAAAACCAATGCTGCAAGATTGAGCTCTCTTAGGGCACCTCGGGAAATTGAGTCTTTTCACACTAAACGAAATCACTTCCGGGTCAGGACGCCGGCGTAGGCGTGTCCCTAAGGCTCGCGGGGGGCGTTGACTTTCCCCCGATACCAGAAACTTGTGGTTTCCTGGCTTCCGGTTATTCACAGGCCCCACTACTTCCCCTTTTGCTTCAAGCACGCCTTTGCGCACGCGCCCTGCGCTCGTGTCAGCTATTGGCTAACAGGCGTTTGCTTTCAGAAGACTACTTTTCCCAGAGGGTGTAGCGAGAGGGCGTGGCCTGCCCGCCCCAAGGGGCGGGGCGCGGCGCTCGGAAGGGACGCGGAACCTGTGACCTCTTTCTTTCTTTTATTGAACACAAAACTCGGTGCACACAGCTCACCTCGGCCCGGCTGCCCTAGAGTACAGGCGCCACCTCGCCTTGCTCCCCGTCGGGAGCTGCCAAGCCTCACTCTCCTCCTCCTGGCTCAGGACGCCTGCGCCGCCCACCCCGCGGGCCCTGCCGTGCTCCGGGGCTGCGCGGGCCCAGCTTGGCCCGTGAGAACCTGCAGGAGCAGATCGGTGGCCAGCATGTGGGACGGCTCCTCGAAGCCTATGGTCAGCAGCTGCTGGTAGTCTCCGGGCGGCTGCGGGCACGACACCCTGGGGGCCAGGACACGCAGGCCAGATGTGAGCGCCTCCGGACCCCTTCCTCCAGGGAGGTGGCAGCCTAAACAGGCTTTGTTACCCCGGGGGTGGGCAAAACCCAGGAGAAAGTGGTTTCCTTGTGGAGGAGAAACAGAGTCAGGGCTTCTACGGGAGGAAGTTCAACAACTGGCCCTGACTCCTCCAGTCATTGCTGTCTGTCCTTGGGCAGTAACAACCTCTGTTTACCTGTTCACATCTTTGTAAAATGGGGCCTAAAAGTACAGACCTCAGTGGGTTGTTACAGTCTGCATTAAACACTTCAGGGCACAAATGGCTATAATTGTCACCACTGGAGGTTAAGTGTTCAGGTTGTAGATGGTTTGTGTGAGCCCAAGCCAACCCTGCCCCAGCTCCTACCAAGAATAAAGGTCGTCGTCAGCTGGTCCTAGGGGTACCCAGCGGCCGATGGACCACAGCTTCTGGATCTGGGGACAAGAATTGGCTGGACTCTGGCCTGTGTCCTCCCACGTATCTCGGTAGCACAGGAAGTAGCTAGGAGCGAAGAGTGGCAATTCAGCTGAGTGATGGTTCTATGGTTCTTTTGAGGGTTTTATTTTTGGATGTAAAGGTGAAACTTATCAGAAGTTGCCCTGAAGTTCTCAGGTAGGGATGTGACTCAGTACCAGGGCTTCAGAACAAGTATGGAGGTATATGTCTGTCATCCCAGCACTCCAGAGGCTGAGGCAGGAATATTGCTGTGAGTTCCAGGCCAGCCAGGGCTACGTAGTGAGAACCTGCCTCAGAACAAAAATAACCACAAACCCCCAATACAAGGCCTTTCTCTCTGCCAGCCCCTTTTTAAAAAAAGACTTTGAAAATTATTTTTACTAGAGTGAAGTTAAGGAAAAAAAAAAAGTTAAACTGGGTATGGTGGCACAGGCCTGTAATCCCAGCACTGGGGATGCTAAGGCAGGATTGTCATGAATTTGAGGCTAGCCTGGGCTACACAGTGAGCGCAAAACCAGACTGAACTACATAGGAAGACCTTATCTCAAAAAAAAGTAATGGCTGGGAGTATGTCTTGGTGATAGAGACTTTGCGTAGCATGCCTGAATGCCTGGCTTGCTTTTTGCTTGCTGGTGGTGGCTTGGAGGCCCATATTAGCATTGGGTATAGGCAGGACAGGCCTTTGATTTTGGTAGGGAGAACTCACTAATCCACATGGGACATTTGCCCCTGGCTGCTGGGCTTTGGAGTGGTTTCTAGGTTCCAGCGCATCTTCTTGTAGAGGTACCGAGGCTGACGGCTGGCAGTGTAGGCCACTGGGGTGCAGTATCTGAAGATGGATACTTCCTGAAAAGGGCTGATGGAGAATCTCCCGCAGAAGAAGCAGGAAATGCTAGCCGAGGATGGGAGAAGGAAAGATGAAGCTGGAGCCCGGGCTCTACTGCCACCCCAGGTGGGGGTCAGACCCTCTTACCTCTGGGGGTCCGTCTCCTCCAGCTCCACGAAGCCAAAGGAGGCATACATGAGGACCAGCTGCTCCAGGCACAGGGTGAGCTGCTGGGAGATCTCCAACAGCTGCAGAGAAGGGGCAGTGAGCTGGCCCGGCAGGAGAACCCACCCCTGGGCCTGGACCCCAAAGCTGCTACACGCACCCCCTTCCGGACCAGCTCCTGCAGGGCTCCGTGGATGGGAGGCACACTCCGTGCAGCAGCCTCCAGATATAGGAAGTATGGCTCACACATCCTTAAGAAGGTGGGCATGGCCCTTGCTAGCTGTTCCTTCTGGACCTGGTCCCTGCTAAATAGAGAAAGGGGTCTTTACCTGGATGATCCCACCCCTTTATTTCTCCCATTCTACTCACTTTCCATTTGTATCACTGTGCTTTTTTTGGGGGGGAGGTTGGTATTTTAAGACAAGGTCATACTTTGAAGTGCAAGCTGGCCTCTAAAGCACACCAATCCTGCCTCAGCCACCTGAGAGCTGGCATTCCAGGTATATGACCAGCTTTTTGTTACTTTTGGCTTGCTGTGGATGGAAGGAAGAGCCTTGAGCATGCTGGGCAAGTGATCATGCTGGAAAGCACCCTACCTACCCCAATCATGCCTCCCTGTTCTAAAATTAAAATCCCTTGGTGCCCAACCTTTCTCAGGGTATCTTCTTCCTGGTCCACCTGTATGAAAACCATTTAGAACCTGAGTTAAAATCCAGCTGGTGTGGTGGTATGGCACATATCTGTAATCCCCACTCTTTAGGGGCTGAGGCAGGATTGTCAGGAGTTCAAGGCTAGTCTAAACCAAGGCCCAGAAAATTGTCTCACAAAAACAAAAACCCCAAAAAGTTAACACCTGAATTACATAAATGCCCTTCGCTCAGACCTCCACAAGGTGCAACCCAGAAATCTATAGAGCTTAAACCACCTCACAGGGGATTCCAATAGATTCTGAAACTGAGAATCAGCCTCTTTTGCCTTGCTATGTGGATCAAATTATGGGAATGGGGTAGGGAGTTTCAAACTGGTAGTCCATGGGCCAAATTTGGCTCAGATGGGCTTGGTTTAGCTAGCACAGGGTCCTAAATCTAAGCCAACATTTGCACACTGGGAGGAACGTCCTTGCGATGTGGCAGCCCAGAGGCCTGGCTGCCTGTGTCTCAGACATTTCTGCACACCGGATTCCTGTCAGTTAGCTTCCCACTAATATTAATATACATATATATGTGTATGTATGTATTTTACTCTTGCAATTTGGTGTGAATTGTTTGCCTAGCCTGTCACTCTGAGTCCCCCTTCCCGGGTCACCTATAGAGCAAGTAGCTTTGGAAGTCGTCTGCCTTCTTGAGCAGGTAGCGGAGCTGTTCGGTGACAGGGCTGAACATCGCGTCCAGGGTCAGGCGAGCTGGGGCCGGCACCATGAGCCCTGGATCGGGGGTCACAGCTTCCACCACCTGTCCCTGGGCGTCCTTGGGCTCCGTTGTCGGTGGGTCCTCAGGCCTGCTAGGTGGTGAGGACCAAGAGGGGTCCCCACAAGGCTGGGTCCCGGGTTCCAAGTCGTCCAGGGACGGTGTTTCCCCGGGGCCCAGGGAGGGAGGCCCTGAAAACCATTCTTCGGTAGCCATGAAGGGGCAAGGGGCGGAGATCCGTGCTCTTTAAGGCCCCGCAGCGCACGTTTGACCCCGCCCTGGAGGTTGGGGACGCTCAGGGGCAGCCGCCCACCCTACGCCGGCTTCAACCTCTGCGCTGCCCGCCCGGGGGAGTTCGCCTCATTTGAATTCCAGCTCGCGGCGCTGAGCGCCCGCGCGCAGAGGGAACCCGGCACTTGAGAGGGGGCCAGCGAGGGCGCGTCCTCGCGGACCCAGGTATGTGTGTCTGGGCGGTGCAGGGAGGAATCTCAACTAGAGTCCAGCTGGGGAGACCGCTGCCGAAGGCGTTTACAGAAGCCCAGGCCACAGGCCAATGGAGTTGTGCTTTTGGTAAGGATGTGCAATATCACAGTTGTTACTAACAATAAAAATTCCTTTGGAAGGTTTTTCCTAGACCACGACCTCATCGATGGCCAGTCCCTCCCTTGACGGCGCCCCATTCAGCACGCAAAGGCTGCCAGGTCAATGGTACAGCTATGAAGACAAGGACATTAATTATATTCAAGGGCTCTGGGTAAAAGAGGCTACAAGTGTTTGACACTACCTTGTGTGACCGCGTCTTTGCTGTCTGAGCGCGTTTTCTCCTCTATAAAGTCGGTTTTTATGAGCTCTTTGTCTCATGGGGCAGAGGAGAGGACAACCAAGAAAATGCTCATAAACCGTAGTTTAGTCAGTCACTCAACCAGCATTTGAGCACTGTGTGCCAGGGGTGCTGGGAATGGGAGATGACAAAACAAAGTATTCCCATCCTGGAGCCATTGTTTTTTGTCCTTTTTATTTTTGCACTGCCAGGACCTCCTGTGTGGCAGGTAGGTGCTTCCCACAGAGCCACACTGACCATCCTGGAGCACTTACTCTTAAAAGCTGGCTGTGAAGCAGCCCCATCACTACCCTTGCCTGCCCCCAAGAGTTTGTGCACTACCTTTAGGGGCTCTTAAGAGACGCTCAATGCCCCTCCCCCACCTCATTCATAAAATGGACTCTGGCATTTTTTTTCTTTTCCTTTTTTTTAAAATTTTATTTAAAAAACCTTCGGTGCAATATTAAAAAGCAATACAGCCAGCTGGAGCGATGACGACAGAAAGAAAAGGGAAAGACCCAGGAACCCCACCCAGATGTTCCCCAATCCTCTAGTGCTAGAGGGCAGGGGCAACAGGCTGGGAAGGGACTTGGGTGGTGGGGGAAGAGACCACCCACCAAAATAAACAGGCAGAACAAAACATTTACATAGGAAACATCTGGCTGAACTGAAGATGATTTTGAGGGAAGCCCAGCTTTTTTCCAAAAATGTCCTTGGGCAGGGAGGGAGTTGGCCTCCTCAAGTCCCACCCCATGCTCCACTGTTGGGGAGCAGGGGTTGTGCAGGGGGAGAGGGCAGGTGTGTGGGGGACACAAAGGGAAATGAACAAAGGCGCCCCTTGTCAGAATCAGTCACCAGGGCCAGGGTGCCCTAGGCAGTTCCAGAACTCTGGGGGAGTGGGGCCAGATGGGGGATGGAATAGGCCCGGGGAGGGCAATGCTGGGCATTCAGCCTAGAAAGCCGTCAGGGTCGTCATCTTCGAAGTGGCCTTGCTGAAGCACCTTAATGTGGTGCTCATAGATTTTGAGAGCTGGGCCCAGGCGGATGGAAAGGCCTGTCAGCACATCTGTGCGCTGCATGAGCAGCAAGGATTTGCCGTCGATCTCCTGGGCAGGACAGAGTCAGGGTCAGAGCACACCCCATGCAGCCTGAACAGAGGGGACACTAGGCATGGACTCACCTGCTCCTGGAAGGCGGTGGCCTGCTCAGGGAAGCCAGCCTCAGTGAAGTACTCTACCACATCCATCACTGTCCACTCCACGGGGTCCGCTGGCTTCTCCTTGCGCCCAGGACTGCAGTAAAAAACATGGCTGGGTGACCACCAATGCCCTTCCGCTTGTTCTGAACAACCAAGCAATCACCCCAGCTCCTCAAGGGCCCCAACTTACGGACAGCCAAAGGGAGTCCCGTCTGCCCCAGGGAGGGCTGGCTTCCCTGGGGGCAAAGGCACAGGGGATGGGGAATCTGGCCCGGTGGCAACAGAGGCTGGCAAAGAAAAGGCAAGAGTCTGTGACACCGCCCTGAGCTGCGGTTCCTGCCCACCTAATGCCCCCTCCCCAGTCCTTACCCGATCCTCCTTCCTTACTCATGGCTGCCATGGAGAACACTTGGCGGTTACCACTGCCCGGTGCTGGTCCCCGCCCTTCATCCTGCCCTGGGAGGGGTCCACAAGACGTCCACTCCTTGACCCTCTCCTTAGCGTTTGGCGGGGCCCGCTCGCCATTAAGCTGGAGGTGCTGAGCACCCGCAGGACGGTCACTCTCAGGCACTTCTGAGCCCTCGGACACGTCGTCCTCGTCATCTTCATCATCCTCATCTTCTTCCTCTTCCTTCTCAAGCAGTCGATCTTCTCCACCTCTCTGGGACCAGAGAGACAATCATGCAAGGTTGGCGCACCCTAGGATCATGGGCCGAATCCCATAATCCATACTACCTTCAGTAACACTTAAGACTAACTTTTATGCATTCTCTCTATGCCAGGTTTGGTGTTCTGAGCCCTCCACAGTCAAACCTCGCTAAAGTAGCTCCACAACCCCAAGGGGTCGCTACTGTAATCCAGCCGCGCTGACAGCGGTGGAAACTGAGGCTAGGAGCAGACCAAGTCCCTTGCCAAGGTCACCACGCACAGAGCCCACAGGGGACGCGCGCACAGCCCAAGCCCCTGCCGCCCCAGCACTCCCGAGACACCAACTTTGCCCGTCTGCCTTCACCTGCCCGCCGCGCGGCGCCCCACTCCCCGCGCGCTCACCTTGCTCCGCGACGCGCGGGCGCTGGCAGCCGGCGGGGCCCGTCCGGGCC